ATATATATATAGGCCAAGTTATTGCAGAATGTATGTATTATTATACTATATTTTCTACTCTAGCTATCTGAATTCCCTAATTTTCTCTCACCAGGAAAAGTAATATCACTTTTTCACCTCATAATTCTTTTGTATCATTACCATTACATTCAGGGTTCAAAATGTACTTTTAACCAATACACACTACCAAAAGTTTAGGGTCAGTACGGTTTCTTAAAATGCATCAAAAGTGACAGTAAAGACATTTACAAATAATTGGTCTCAGATAAATGTTGTTCTTTTGAACTTTCAAACAAATGGCATCACAGTTTAAAAAAAAATATTAAGCAGCACACCTTTTTTCAACACTGATAAAAATAAGTAAATGTATCTTGAGGCGTAAATCAGAATATTAGAAAGATTTCTGAAGGATCATATGTCACAAAAGACTGGAGTAATGATGCTGAAAATTCAGCTTTGCATCACAGGAATAAATCAGATTTTAAAATAGAATAAAACAGAAAACAGTTTGTAATAATAGTTTGTTCACAATATTACTGTTTTTACTGTGTTAATATAAATGCAGCATAGATCCATAGAGACTTCTCTGAAACATTTAAAAATCTTACAGACTTCAAACTTTTGAACGGTAGCGTCTGAGAATATTAACCCCAATTGCATCACTCTGCCTGTGTCTTCATGTGTAGGTATGAATGACTTTAGTTACCTGCACACCAACTGTTTTGAGGTGACGGTGGAGCTGTCCTGTGATAAGTTCCCTCATGCCAGTGAGCTGCCCATAGAATGGGAGAACAATAAAGAATCTCTCCTTGTCTACATGGAACAGGTACAACATATTACATACAAAATGCCAGCAACCACGTCTAAACACCTGAATGTCTCAGAAAAAGCCATGCAAACACTGATTTGTCCATATGACAGGTGCACAGAGGAATCAAAGGAGTGGTTAAGGACAAAGACACTGAAGCCGGCATCGCTGATGCCATTATCAAAGTAGATGACATCGACCACCACATAAGATCAGGTAACGTTAATGCCATTCAGAATGATTAAAACAATCATTCAAATACTTTCAGGCAGCTACAAAATGAGCTAAAAATGTTCTCCTATCCTGTTTCAGCTTTTGATGGGGACTTCTGGCGTCTGTTGAACCCAGGCGACTATGATATCACAGTGACCGCAGAGGGATACTTCCCAGCTACACAAAGTTGCAGGGTCGAGTACGAGCATTACCCAACTATATGTGACTTCCACCTCACCAAGACACCAAAACAGCGTCTGAGAGAGATCCTGGCCAAGGGAGGCAAGATTCCCAAAGACCTACAGCTCCGACTGCGCCAGCTGCGCATACGGAAACTGCGTGCCAGCACTAAGCTTATTAATCAACGCAGGGCATCACAGCAGCGCAGGGCTAGGGGGGCCCACAACTAGACTGACCTTTAACCTTTGACCTGTTTTGCCGGCCAAATACAGGATTAAACTATCAATGTCACAGGCAGATGCAGTTTAGAGGGCCTGTAAGTTGCCCTTTCCTGTGGTAACATACATTGTGTATTATACATTTAGAGCAGATACATTATGCAATGTACTGTAAATTTTACACAAAAATGTTTCAAACTGAACAGTTACTGATAAAATGGACAATTAAAAATAACGCCATCTTTGGAAAATGTGATTTTCGTGCTAATATGTGCTCATATTTCTGCATAGAAGAGCAAATACAACATCTCAGTCTGGAATGTTTTGTCAAATGGTTTCATTAAATGTTTATATTTTGTCTGCAATATTTCAAACAGTTTAACACTGAAGATTCAATATAGGCTATATACTGAATACTGAAGAGTAATTTATAATGCTACCAATTCCGTGAAATTAAGTTTGATTAATTAATGTATGATTTAGCATGAGTGTTTTGTTTTTGAAGGAAACTGTTGTCACAAAATCTAGCAACACATATGTAACATGATAAACAATACAAAGATCAACATACCTCACATAACAAGCATTCGTATTATCCAAATACGAGTAGTTACAGAGATCCAGATGAGACGTGAATCATTTGTAAATGACTTTTGTAATAACTTGACATGATGAATGAACTTGGCTCTATATTGTCCCTATGTACGCCACTTTCTCTGTTTGACCTGTGGCTGTCAACAGATGGCGCTGAGCTGCTTTGGGAGATTCCAACAATGTACATAATTATAGAAAAATAAATAAATACGCTTTTAGAATACATTGAATCTACTCTGTATTTTGTAATACTTGTCATACGTTCCTAATGATTTATTTTAAATATAAAATGAGCGATTCAGTGACGCAATGTTTCGCGCGACATACATGGCGTCATATTCAAGCGACTTGTGCCTTGCTCATTTTGACATTCCGGATGAAAAGGATAAATATACTTGGAAAAATAAAATGTTTCGATACATACTCAACGCGCACATTATGTGATAAACAACCGCAAACGAAGGTAAAGATTTTGTTATGTTTCTTCCAGTTAACTTTACTGTTAGAGTCTGACCAGGTTAAAGGAGTTATCTTTGACTTATTTCTTTTTATTACTATTGATTAGTGTTCGATAGGCATTTTAAATTGATAATTTCGAACAATAATAGCCATTTTTGTGTTTTATTATAATACGAATAGTTTGTTTTAGTAAAAGGTTATTTTAAAGAGATTTGCAGAATATCCATAATATAAAATATTAAATGTATCATGCATGGCATTTGATTTGTGTGTCAAGAGCAAAAGAGAGGTGAAGTGTATGAAACATAGCAGATTATGATATATGTCATCCAATAAAAATAATAAAGGACACAAAAAACTAATCTTTAATCATAAACAACCAATGAGCAATAATTACTTGCATGTTCATATCATTATGCCACGGTGTGCATATTCCATGCTTACAACAATTGCTTTAGTTCTAGACGTGCAAAAACAAAATCAGGATGTTTTCTGCAACAACAACAAAAAAAACAGGATATGTGGTTTAGAATAGCTGGACCACTAATGTCTGCAAAACTGGAAAAAAAAAAGATTTTGCTTTTGTGTGCAGACATTGCTGAGACACTTCCTTGATCCTTTGTTTTTTTTCTTTTTTCTTCAGAGGTTCATCCATAATGATATGGACGAAGTTTACCAGGTCGATGACCTTTGTGACTGTACGGATATGTCACTATGGAAGCCTAGCAAAACTGAGGCCTCACATCAGAAGTGTATCTCACAGATCCTCCTATCTGGACTCCAGGACTCACAGCATCCGGCCTCTCTGCTGCAGTTCACCCCTCTTAGGGTTAGATGCCTCCATCACACTGACCGTGGGGCTTCAGCCCAGAAGAACTATTACCACAGACCGACTGAGCTGGTATGAGAGCGTTGCAGACTCTACTCCTGTATACCTCACAGAGCAGCTCCTCGTGTCCGCTCAACAGATGACGGGACTGCCGTGGTGGGCCAGCATCATGTGCACGACGCTGGCCCTGCGTACCGCCATCACTCTCCCCCTGGGAATCTATCAGTCCATCATCATTGCAAAGGTCTTGTATGGATATTTGGTTGTGTAAAATCATGTTAGCTTTGGTGGTGTTGTTGTTTTTTGTAGCTATATACAACCATTCAAAAGTTTCGGGTCAGTACTTTTTTTATGTTTTTGAAAGCAGTATCTTATGCTCACCAAAGCAGCATTGATTTAATCAGAAATACAGTTATATTGTTAAATATTATTACAATTTTAAAAAGTTTTCTTGCTGAATATTTTTATTCAGTTATAGTGAAGCTAAATTTTCAGCAGCTATTACTCGAGTCTTCAGAAATCATTCTAATATCTTGATTTGCTGCTCAAGAAACATTTCTTATTATTATCAATGTTGGTATTTTTGTCCATTTTTTTCAAGGTTCTTTAATGAATAAAAAGTTCAAAAGAACAGCATTTATTTGAAATAGAAATCTTTAAAGATTACAAGTTTTCACTGACATTTTTAATCAATTTAATGCATCATCGCTGAATTAAAGTATTCATTTACAAACTTATGAACTGTAGTCAATGTTGTGATGATTTTATCACTGTACTTTGCGCTTATTTCTGCCAATTCACAGGCCAGTTTTTGTCTTTTCTTAAAAGGATATATTCTTTTTAGAATATCATTATTTTCCTTTTGGTTTTCATTTTTCATTTCCCATTATTCCTTTAATTGGCATCTCTTCTGTGTTAGTTGAGTTCCAGCTTTGCCTTTTGAATTACAGGCACATCAAACCCAGGTTTCAAAAGAAAAAGAAAACATTTTTCAACGATTTATCCCTTTCAATAATGTTGCAACATGAGAGTGTTGGTTTCTGACTAGGTTTAACGTGAATCATTGAGTAAACAGACCTTTCTCATTTTAATTTATTTGTTTATCTACACATAGAAAAGTATGTAAGGCACATCTTGGAGTTCAGCAGATATCACAAAGTAAACACTGGAGATCATGTGCCTTATTAAGAGTCTCTCTCTCGCCCAGTGTCTCCCAGCTGTGGGATGTTTCTCTTGCCAAGGAGGAGAAAAAGAATGTGCCTCCCCTCCTTTTTCCTCCCCCACTGATGTCCCACAGTGTGAGAACATTATCTGTAGTGTGTCAGACCATCTCTTTAAACTGATGTTTTGATATCTAAAAATGCAAGCAGAGATGCCAAATCAGTTGTCCTTTTAATATATGAAATGCAAATGCACATGCAAATATGCATGTGGCTGTCTGTATCTGAAAAAATCTGAAGGGGGCATACGGAGTCAAAACACTGGTCCATCCAGGCCATATTTAGGTTTTTAGTCCCAGTGACAGTGGCCAGTGAATTAATGTTTTCATAGGCCATACTTTGTATCTGTTGGAAAGGAAAAAAGACTTAAAAAAGAGTAACCCTTGTGCCCTTTTGCCCCAGCTAGGTTGAAGCTCTGCAGAAGGAGATAGCTGTGTTGGCCCACCAGTTACGCTTTGAGATCTCTGTAAAAGCCAAAGAGAAGGGCTGGTCAGAGAAAACGTGCAGGTAGGAAATAATTATTTTAATGCCATCTCCCTCTCTGTGAAAACCCAGCTAAAGTAATTTTTTTTGTGTGATTTACTGTTTTCTACATAAAATCATCCTTGATAAGGTAAAGAACATTCTGTGAAAATCTAACCTTTATATCTTTAATATTGACTGAGTAAGGCCATGTCAAAGAATGAAATTATAGTGAAATTAATGGTTGAAATCAAACTTTGATGCTTGTAATCTCATAATTAGATTTTGAGACTTTAGCCTGGATTTCACAGAGAGAGTCACAATTGATTTATTTGTTTGTTTTTGTTTATTTTTTATTATTTGCTAAATAACAATATAATTATAAAATTCATAATAATATAATATCAATTACATTTACATGTATTTCTGTCAGGACCACTATCGTCAAAATGATACTTAAAAAAATTATACTTAAAAGATACTTAGCATAAAGTTTGGTTTGGCGATATGGTTCTGTTCTGGGCAAAAACCTCCCTGCCCATCCATACAGCCTGTCATGAATGAGCAGGGAGAGCAGCAATAATAACCCCCCTAGGGTTAACAGAACAGAACAAGGCAGATATCATTAATGTACTTAATGATATTTAAGTGTAACACTTTATTCAAGATAAAGGATTAGCAAGGAATATCAGAAAGCCAAGTCCTGACTGTGGCGAAAGGAGGAGCTGGGGATTGAGGAGGGTAATTTGCTCCTGAGCAAGCTAAAAAGCTGCTGAATAATACTGAATAGAGCTTATATAGGAATGCCGCGATAGGTGTCATTCCTATAGGTAGATGTGATCAGCTGAGAATCAGCTGATGCAAGCTTGACTCACGTGACCTGCCAGAACTAACGCTAACGCTTAATATTTGGCAGACACTTTATCTAAAGCAACTTACATTGCATTCAAGGTAAACATTTCATCAGTTCTTACATTCCTTGGGAATTAAACCCATGACCTTAGCATTGCTAGTGTCTACTGTTTGAGCAACATTATTAATATGTCATCAAATGATTTGTCTAACTCTAATCTATTAAAATGTTATGTTTATTTATTTATTTTTATTTTAAAATTGTGGTAAAAATATTACTTATTCTTGATAGGTTTTATGAGATTCTATTATTAACCAATGAAAGTTTTTTTTCTTTCCTTTTTTTTTTTTTTTTTTCTTCCAATCTGTTTTCCAGATATTCGCCCTCAGACAGCTAGAGCCTTCAAAGTTCCAAAAGTATGTGACTAACTTCATCAGAGGAATATCTCTGGTGATGATTCCTATAGCCGCCACAGTCCCGTCAGTAAGTGTCCAGGTCCTCAGCAACTCCATTCAGACATTATCTGCTGTATCTGTGTACAGTAACTTTACGTTAAGCAAGGGTCTGGACAGGTTTCAACTTGTATGACATGAATAAATATCACTCACGTTTTCAAGTGATGTTGTTTTTCCAAAAGAAAAGACAGCAGTGGTACATGATGTCTTTTTTCCCTGCATAGATATGCCCCTTATTGCCCAGAGTTCTTGAGGTTTTTGATCTTGCGACAAAAGGGGGCATACGGAGGGCCCACCTGAGAATAGTTACAAAGGGCTGAGACGTTGTACAACTTTGCTGTGATATCTTCAGTAGATGTACAAATCGATGTCTTGTGCTTATCTAGACATAGTAATAGACAATTTGTGTTGTGTCTCCAGTCCTTCATACGTAGGAGCAGTAGATGAGAAGTTTCTCAAGTTGAGAATGCTTCACAAAAACAGCACTCTGAATTTACAAATTCAAATAGAAATTTAAATGACCCCTGATGATTTTTATTTTCTTTTTCCTTAATTTGTAGTCCATGTGTCTGTACTGGCTCAGCTCCAGTTGTGTTGGCCTGGCACATAACCTGCTCCTGAGATCCCCTCGCTTCCGGGCCGTCTGTCGGATCCCTCCAACACGCTCAGACTCTGAAACACCATACAAGGACATTGCAGCTGCATTTGTAGCCAAATACATAAAATAGATGGATGTGGACGTTGTAAATTAGAGCATCGGCTACTGAAAATGTGAACGGAACATGTGGATGCCTGTGTATGTAGTGGTGGATTCATCCATCAGATGTGTTTATAAAAAAAACTGCTTTAGGAAAGAGACTCTGATAAGTAGTACAATTTTAAGCTGATGTTAAAATAAAAGTTATTTGTGAAAAAAGGATAAGGTCTCCATTTTTTTCTAAGGCTTACGGTTTTGGCCTATCAGAAACAAATTACACATTTGTAAAGGAAAACAGTGTAAGGGTTGTTCTGTAACATACACACTACTGTTCAAAAGTTTTGGGTTGGTAAGATTTTAATGTTTTTGAAATAAGTCTCTTATGCTTAGCAAGGCTGCATTTATCGAATCAAAAATACAGTGAAAATAGTAATATTTTGAAAAGTTATTACAACTTAAAATAATAGTTTCCTAGTTTACTTTAAGATGTAATTTATTCCTGTAATGCAAAGCTGTATTTTCAGCATCATTACTCCAGTCTTCAGTGTCACATGATCCTTCAGAAATCATTCGAATATGCTGATTTGGTGCTCAAAAAACATTTAACAATATTATCAATGTTGAAAAAAGTTGTGCTGCTTAATGTCATTGTGGAAATCATAATACACTTTTTTGAGCTTTTGTTAATAAATGGAAAGTTCAAAAGAACAGCATTTATATGAAAACTAAAATGTAAAAAAAAGTCTTTGTCCCTTTTGATCAATTAATGCATCCTTACTGAATAAAAGTATTTAAAAAATATATTAAATCTGTAAATGCCAAACTTTTTGAATGGTTGTGTACATATGCTCTTTTTTTTTTTTTTATCTGGACTGAAAATGATTCTCTTCATGTTTGTACATCTAACAGCGTAAGAGAAAATACAAAAATAAATATTCACCATATTCCATTCTGAACTAATTTTGAAGCCAAAAAGTATGTTGTACTTTGTTGTAACATACAAAACAGTATGTTGTCTGTAAAAATTCACACTTACCAGTATTCTTACTCTGTAGTATAAATGTGTATCTACCCTTATAAATTATGAAAGGGGATCATCAAATTTGGAAATCCTTGGCATAAAAAAGTTTGGGAATCCCTGTCATATGAGACTTAAAGATACCTGGGCTCTTTTGAATTGGGACACCCTTGCAACCACAAAAACTTCTAATCCATCAGTGAACACGTTGTTATTCCATGGTATCATAAATAATACCAATAACAACAGAACTATGCCAAGAAAGGAGGATACGTTTACTTGTGCTATTGTAAGTTTATGGTCCTGCTGGGCGGGGTCTAGTACCTCCATCCCAAAGCAGAAAGAAGCAGCAGACTCTGAACCAGCCTGAGACCCTTCACACCTCACCATGATCTGCGTTCTGCTATTAACACTGTTCGCTGTGGTGTCAGCGGACCGGCTGCCCCGCAGCTGCGGCACCTGCGACCCGAGTAAGTGCGCTCCGCTGCCGGCCGAGGGCTGCTCCTCCGGGACGCTGCTGGACGCGTGCGGCTGCTGCGAGCTCTGCGCGTCGGGGGCTGGAGAGCCGTGCGGGGGACGCGGAGCCTCAGCCAAGCGCTGCGCGTCCGGACTCGAGTGCGTCAAGAGCGACAAAGACAAGAAGAGCAAATCAGGGGTCTGCGTCTGCAAGAGCAGCTATCCCGTGTGTGGCAGTGACGGCGTGAACTACAACAGCGGCTGTGAGCTGAAAGCAGCAAGTGTGAAAGCAGTGAAGGACAAAAAACCCGAGATTAAGATTCGGAACAAGGGCAAATGCGCTCAAGGTGAGATGCCTCAACACTATAAGAAGCTCTCTGTAATTTAGCAGTCAACACTTGAATAACTTTCATTAATAAGTAAAATGTTTAGATAATGCTGATTAATAGTGCATGTGGGCTACAATAAGTCATGAACGTTCGATTGATATATTAGGCCTATCATATGGGTGTTTCTGCAACTGGGCACTTTTGACTCCAAAAAAAAAAATAATAATAAACCCCTGTGAATTTTTATTTTAACCATCAGAGTCTGTAATACATATAAAAAGGTCAACAAAATTGCATAGAGTCATTAAGATTTTAATCTGAAACCTGTTTATTTTTTATGTTTTTCAACTCTTCTTACAAAATGTCCTTACCCCGCAACGTTAGAACTCAAACAGTTTTTCATGTTTAAAAAAGATTATCTCCTGAAAGTTCCTGTATTTTTCATCTGAGGCCACTGCCTTCTTCAGCTTGTAGTTTGCATCTCTGAGTTCGTAGTACATCTTTGATTGTATCTTTTTTACACCCCCTCTTAAGAGCAGCTGTCCCGTTAGGTGAAGGTTCTAGTGGAGCAGCATGTAAGTTATCATCAGATGGGGATAGTGGTGGTGTGTTTGTTGCAACAAACTGATTTGAGGCATGCCGTACTTTGTGTTTTGCCCTCCGGTTTCTTTTATTTGTCCTCCACTGCCTTCTTTTCAGATTTTTCTCTCTTTTTGTCAGCTGCGGGAGACACTCTTAATCTGCCCATTTTCCTCTCTCTTTTTGTAACATTCTTTTTCCGTCTGCAGATACTCTGCATACCTCTCTGGGTCTTTTCTCATTTCCTCTCTGCATTTCTTTGATCTTATTGTTGATGAATTTGGTCTTATCTAGGGTTACAAAATGTCATGTTTAAATATAATTTAAAATAGACTGAATATTTGTAATCTAATATACAGTAAACCTTGAACTTGTCTCTACTGCAACACAAGGTCTTTACCGCAACACCTAAATTTGCTGCGGTAAAGACGTTGCAGAAATGACATTTGTGCTAATATTGCTGCTAATTGGCAGCTAGCAAGGTCTACTACATTAGTTTTGACTAATGTTTTAGTAGTTTACTAGTTTTGACTTAGCATCTTAATATACATGAATTAAACAGTAAAATACATTTATTTTTAAAATGTAGTTCAAAGTGCAGAATTACTAAGCTGTATGATAAGGACACACAATAAATACTGACACAGAAAAGATTATATTTACCTTATATTTTTGGGATCTTGTGTGTGAGGTAGTGAGGTGGCCCAATCTGTCAACAATGTGCTCACATGCTAATTTCTATTCCCTTAGAAACTAGACTTGTTTGTCTTTGATAAAATGTCATAATAAAAGCCTTTTTCATTGTTGCGGTAAGGACTCAAAAGTGTGGGACAGGCACATTTAGTTGAAAGAATCATAAAAATGATCAGTAAATAATACAAAAAAATTACGATGCTGTAAATTAATATGTATATTAAACTATTCCATTTGAAATCATTTAAAATTGTAATTCAATTAGCTTATTTTACATATCTCAACATTGTGACCAGAGTTGTGGGACATGAACAAAAATGGTGTTTGGACCTATAAATGCTTCATAATTTTATATTAAATCACATTATTTATTAATTATATTTTTTTGTCAAGGTGTGTAATGACACTGTGAATATATTTATAAAGCATCATGTGACAAATTTTAACATAAATCTAAAATTTCACTGCTGGGACTTAAAAGTGCCCGTAGTTGCAGAAACACCCATATAGTGTTGTCAAACGATTAATTGCGATTAATCGCACCCAAAATTAAAGTTTTTGTTTGCATAATATATGTGTGTGTTCTGTGTATATTTATTATGTATATTTAAATACATGCACATACAGTATATATTTTGAAAATATTTACATGTATTTACATGTCTATATTTATATTCATATAATTTATATGATAAATAAATATATTTAATATATAAACATAACATATTTTTCTGAAATATATATGCATGTGTGCATATTTTTTTTTAATGTTTTGTGACATCATGCCCCAATAGCTGTCATACTAAGGGTTAAATTTGTCACAATGGAGCCTGTCACTAGGAATTCAAGGCATTATGTATTTGCATAATGCAATGGAATTCATACTTTTTTGAGTGTGATTTAAGTGTCCAAAAACGTTTTGAGGCCAATGTATTAATATTGTAAGTACAATATGTTGGTTCATCTTTGACAAATTAAAAGCTTAGGCCTAATTCTGTACCTAAAGCAGTGTTCGAATTGTGTCAAAGCTCTTGGGGGGTCCCCCTAACCAGTCCCCAACCCCACCCCCTCACCCCCTACACAAAAAAATTCAAATAAAATAAAATAAAACTTTATATACATATGATGCATATTTTTTGTCTTGTCATTGTTATCATTGGGAAAATGTAATTCTAAAATAAAAGATTATTTTATGATGATCAGTGAATTAGGTGTACCAAACAATCACTACACAAGAAGAATTAAATATCTAGCCTAGGGGTGTGCCGATGTTGACAAAAAATTATATCTCTATATTTTCTGGGGTTTTATCGATAACAATCGATAATCAGACGATATATATACGAGTGTGTTGCTTACTCTGTGTGGTGGTCGATTCACAGCAGTGACAGAAATTAATCTTTTCCAACAAGTTTAAAATTATTTTTACCCTTTATGGCCATTTTTACCTTTGTAAAGCCATTTTTTCTAGAAGTGTATCAAATTCTTACATTTAATCAATAAAGTCAATTACAATAATAAGACATTTGGGCCTCTTACCAAACAAATAAAATCATTATCACCAAAATTAATGCAATGCAGAGAAAACACAGAAGCTGCATCTAAAGTGGCATTTAGATGCATATACACAGTTTAATGCCAGGCATGAATGCTTTAACCTGCAGTTATATTGAACTGTTGTATAAAAATCAATATCACATTTGTGATATTGATCAACTATATGAAATGATATAAATATATACATTTTCTGCCCCCATATCTTGAATTTTGGGAGCATTCCAAATGCATTTTATTATATTGAATCATGTGAAAGAACAAACTCTAAATGAGCATACAATCTAGCTAGTGTTTAAGCACTCATAACTCCCTTTATAATCAATGAAGCTGTCCATACACTGTATGATAAATTAATATCTAACTTACATCGTACGTACATCTGCACTTTGTTAGTATTCTGTATATGGAAAAGCCTCTCCAGCAGAGCTTTCGCTGACCTCTGCCTTCTCCTAATCAACCCAACAAACTGACAATATGAACTCAGGAGTGCACAGTGATTTGTTTTACCTTGTTTGAAATACTCCTAAACTACATTCTTACCATTATCTTTGCTGAAGTAACCTAAGTGCACGTGGGCTTTAACAATAGGGGTGAATTCAGGTAAACTGGGCCATTTTTTCCCTGAGATGACTAGAAAGAAATGTCCCAATTGAACAGAAAACTGCTAGGACATTGAATGAATTAATAATTCATAATTGTGTGTTTAATAGAAGGAAAAAGTCATTTGGACATGTCAATTTTGGAAATAACCTTTTCAATTTTGAGTGAACTATTGGAGCGACTTGCTCACACTAGAAGCAATGAAGCAGCTGTTGTCTGTATTATTATTACAATCTGTCCATCAGTGCAGTGTGCAAACTCGGTCCCAGAATTCCTTACTCAACCAGGCACGAGGGAAACCCACATGCTGATAACTTCAGCATGGCATGCTTATTATATAATGTGCAACTAGAATGCAACTTCCAAATCATTTTGTTTCTTGTTTCTTTTGTGTCCTCTGCAGCACCAGTTATTGTAACAGCTCCAGGAGAGGTCTGGAACGTGACTGGCTCGCAGGTCTTCCTTAGCTGTGAAGCCATCGGGATACCAACACCTGTGCTCACCTGGAGAAAAGTAAAAGAATAGATTATTAAAAAAAAAAAAAAAAAAAATCAGTTAATCTATGGATATTGCTTTTGCAAATAAGTAACGTCTGAGCTGATCCGTTTTCATGTATCAGATTCTATAGCACAAACACAAAACCCATATGGAAAAGAGGAAGGATGTGTTTGTGCGTACAGTACGGCTCCAGCTATGTCAAAGGATGTCCACTTCTATGAATAACACAGCACAGAAACAATAGCACCACGAACAAGGGAGGGATCAGAGCAGGAAGCGCTTTATCAAGCGTGTCATCAGCCTTCACATTTTTTCATTCTAGAACTAAAGGAGACAGGCTTTCTCCTTAAAGATAGGATCAAAGAATTCCATGGCACTGGGCATTGCTTTGTACTGGCTATAGAGAAGTTCACTAATGTAAAAAGCCACAGCGGATGACCGGATACAAAAATGACTAATGTTGATTTCCCATGACAAAAAAAAAAAACTCCTTATTAACTTCTCTCAGGAAATCTGAAACCCTGGGAAATATTGGGCTTTAAAAATATGTTTGTGCTCTAACTCCGTTTTCTATCTGTAAATTACTTACTTATTTAAGCATGAGGTAATATGGGTTCTATTTTCTTATGCAGTTTCGGTTGATCAGATTAGTCATGCTTCATAAATGGTGGAAACTAGATTATGTCCTGGATGCAGAATTTCACCCTTGCCTCAGTTTGAGGGGCCCTGCGGGATATTTTTATTACAGAGATGCAGACCCAGAGTCGCTCAATAACTACTTTTAGCATCTCTTGAGATCAGAGGAGGAGATTAAAAAGTTTAAGCAATAAAATTAAAGTCTGGAAGACGGGCTTGCGAAAGAGCGAGGGGAGTATTTTGAAAAGTCAGAGAAATTTCCATTTCTTTAACTTAAGTTAATACGTACCATTACATGAAATAATAATAATAACAGCAACAACAATAAAAATAATAAGAAAATTATAAATATCATTAATAAATAAAAAAAATATTATTAAATAATGAAATAAAAGTAAAATATTATTATTGTTCATATAATTTGTTATAATTTTTGTATTGTTGATTAAAGTGCCCCTATTATGGGTAATGAAAGGTTCATATTTTGGTTTTGGGAATCTCCAACAACAGGTTGACATGCATGCAAGGTCAAAAAACACTTTCATTGTCTTATAATATGCATTTATTTTTACCTTACTTGCTCAACGACTCCTAAACGATTTGCTCAAGGATTCATTTTTCCAAACCCCTCCTTTGCCTGACGCTAATCTGCGGTGATTGATCCGATTGGTCTCATTTTCATTTCATCATTCCGAGTATTTCTGTAATGCCTGATAAAGCAGTGTTTGTGAGCGCAGTGCTGCTTTGTGTACAGCATTACTAGGGTAACCGCTCCAAAAGCGGCACCTAGTGGCAAAGAATAAATTTGCATTTTCATTCAGACCAACCCGAAAAGACCAACAAGTGGGCAGGCAATATTCTAATGTTTCATGTTGACTTCAACATGAAACGGCTTGGGATTCGTTTTAAAAACACTCCTTTTAATGATTCAGAGTCGACTTTTCTTTTGAGAAACAATAACTTTATACATGGTGCACTTTCAGATTTAAAACTTTGCAGGATGTTTTCATTCACTTAGAACTGTGTTACACACTGCATGAAAGGTAATTTTCAAAAATCCATAATAAGGGCAACTTTAAAATAAAAATGTTTCACTCAAATTGATACTCAGCTCTAGGAAAAAGTGCAACACTCACTCTACAAACATCAATTTAACATTTCTTTAAAACAATGACATTTCCGCCAAATTCAAAGCCTTCATCAGACATTTTGTTTGTTTCTCAAATTGATATGCAGATAAGATAATATCCAAAGGCAAAATAGAAGCATTTTCATAGCCTTACTGTAACTTCAGTAATATGCTTATGTTTATCTCACCATTCACCTCACACTTTAAAAAAAACATACATAGACAAACAGAAAAGTATAGGCTACTGGTAATTTTCTGACAGGACATTTTATTGACATTTCTTTTAACCCTAAAACATGGAATAAATTCAAAATACAGGGAAATACCTGATAAAAATCAATACAGAAAATACTTAAATTTTTACAAACAGTTTTTAGTTAAACATTTCCAAACCTAAATGCTCATACACCCAAAGGACTTCAGATGGCTGTTTATCAAACTGCATACAAAAATGCAATATTTAAGAGTTTAAGATCTATTGTGTCTGGTTCCACATGTGGTTATAGTTTAGGTTAAACTTTGCTAATCTGTGTGAATGAAACAGTTTCTTCCTGTAGAGTCTGGTGAAACTTAATCATGCATAACCAAAATCACCACAGAACAAACAAGCTGTAGTGGGCTGCCATATCATGTGCTTAGTCATTTGTGTGTTTAAATTTGTTTTGAATTACCCATAGAGTGTAAAAGTGAAATATCTTCATGGCTGCTGTGATTCTCATAGGTAACTAATAGCAAAGACAAGACTCTTCCACTCCCTGGAGACAAAGACAACCTGGCCGTCCAAACCCGCGGAGGCCCGGAAAAGCATGAGGTTACTGGCTGGGTGCTAGTAAGTGTGTTTTAACTAAATATACACTCTTTCATTTGTTTATATCTCCATGCTTAACTACTACAAGCTTTCTGCTACAAGTTACGAGTATAATTTATTGCACAAAGCAAAACTGTTACAGCATTTTTTGTTGGCAGCGCTGCTCTAAAAGCACTCTAGGCTCATCTCAGGTTACATTTGTTTGGAGTTCTCTGCACTTATCGAAACATTGAGAACAGATTGGGTGAAAACTACGGCTGATGGCCATCTGTTGCAGATATCTCCACTTACCAAGGAGGAGGACGGCTCCTACGAATGTCACGCCAGCAACATCCAGGGCGAAGCATCGGCCGTGGGCACCATTCACGTGGTGGATTCCATCAATGACATTCCACCCAAGAAGGGTGAGTGAGTGCAGTTGAACGGTGGTTGACTGATGTACAATAAATCAGTCCATTCACACCTACTTCATGCTTCAGGATACATAAAAGACATGCAAAGGTAGAGAATGTAGTAGAAACGTATGTGTGCAGCACATGCTGTATAGGACGTGTCCCATCATGCCAAACTGTTTTCTTGGCCCACATCACCTGCCAGTTCCCTGTGAGCAAGATGGTTGCAGTGACAAGTTTCTACTGTTGCATGTTGACAGCCCATAAAACAACTTTGTGAGGAACATTCCCTGGTTTCAATCGATCAAAATTTTGCTTCACTAAGGCATGCTCTAAAATTCCAGATTAGATTAGATTGAATTAATAATTTTTTAAAAAGCCTACTAGCTAATCATGATTTACTCACCATTGTTGTTTCAAACCCGTATGACTTTCTTTTTTCTATGTATAGCACAATGTCCAAGCTGCTGTTTTCCAAACATTGGAATCATTCTGTGATGACAGTGCTTCCAGAATTGCAAAAAAGTACCATATGACTGAAGTCATACAATAAGCATTGTATTTTACAATAAGCATGGATTTTATCGCTGAACAAATGCCCTTTTTCTATCTGAATGGAGAAGCTAATTAAATTGTACTGTTTTAAAGTGTAAAATTATTTAAGTCCAGTGTTATTAACTAAAGCTAAAATTATTAAAAATCACTTCATTAATTGGAATGAAGCTGAAACAAAATAAAATGTAAACAATCTATTAAAAAAATGAAAACTTGAATAAAATATAAGCAAAAATGAGAAATGTTTCCTTGGGAACTAACTGAAATTAAACAAGGTGAAGTTGTAATAAGATGCAAAAACTAGTACTGAAAAAAAGCTTAAAATGTTTAATTTTGAATGAAATTACTAAAACTAAAAGAAGAAAAAAAGAAAATGTAAGTTATTTTAGGAACTGAAAAAAGATAAATATATTTGAAAAAATTATAAAAGCACATTAATTCTCAAATTAATTTAAACATTAAAATATTTATTTCTCTAATTAAAATAAAAACGGAAAATATAAAAAAATAAAGCTAATTCTAAATATTAATAAATACTATATTATATAAATAATAATAAATTAACACTGTTTAAAGGGATAGTTTACCCAAAAATATAAATTCTGTCATCATTTACTCTTCTGTCTTCATTTAGTTCTTCTTTCAACAGAAATCCATCTTTCATCAACCAGTTGATGGTATCCATTGACTTCCATAATAATAATAAATAAATAAAAAAACACTATGGAAGTGAATGGCTACCGTTAACTGTTTGGTTACCAACATTATTCAAAATATCTTCTTTTGCACTCAACAACTTGAGTAAATGATTTTCATTATTGGATGAACTATCCCTTTAAATCTCAATCTGTTCCTCACACATACGATTTTGAATGCAACAAACAAGTTATATGAACTGCTTTTATTGTGATCTTGGAGCAGAATTTTTGTTTTTAGGTGAGTTATAAATGTAATGCCAATTACCTACCTGTTTGGCTGTATAACACAGTATTCCTATTTTCAGGTAACTAGAAAACGAAGACTTCATTGTCATTGGTGCCTCTTGTCTGTTTGTATGCAGGGAAGGATGATGAGCTGTAAGAGGACGTAGCCTCCGACTGAGATGTTGAAACACTACGCCTGTGCACTGATGACAAGCATCTAGCGCAATCACTGCTCACACACTCCGCCTGAACCACAAACAGCAGCTCAAACATGGACACTTTATTCTTATTTATATGGACACTCACAAAAACCCTGACCCCAACATTTCTCCATTCCTGCACGTTACCTCACTCTACTTCGATACTGTAAAGCGCCAACCAAGACAACCATCATATTGATTTTTGAAGAGATACACACATTCGTACCCGAGAACACAAACATTTAGGCACGCACACTTCATACGCCACATAATATCATTCACTTGCATGCATGTGAAGACACTCAAATAGCTCTTCTCCACTTATCATATGCATGTTTTGCTTCTCTTTATTTTTCAAGATGTTTATGATTAGCTTTCTTTTGGTCGACGTCTATGGTGCTGAAAAAATTATTTAAAGTTTTTTTTACTACTTTTTGCACAATTTCTAAGACTTAGATGCTGTTCCTCCAAGGTTCAGTTAAAACTTTAAGGCCTGGTTTTACAGACAGAGCTTAGACTAAGCCAGGATTAGGCCATAGTTCAATTAGTCATTTTTCATAAACATGCCAGAAAACACATTACTGGTGTGCATCTTGAGACAAAACAAAGGCACTGATATATTTTAAGATCAGTAAGTGCAAGTTTCTTTCAGTTGACACAGCTCAGACTTACATTTTAGTCTGGGACTAGGCCTAAGCCTTGTCTGTGAAACCGAGGGTAAAACTACTTAATCTAAATCAGGGTTTCTCAAATGTTTTAGTATGATGGACCAAAAATCATATTTAATTGAGAACCATGGTCCATGAGTAAATGTTACATTATATCCAACTAGATTTTATTAATATCTAAATATAAAAAAATCAGATTTTTTTTAACCAAATAAATAAAAAAAAATATTAAAAAAATGTTTTTCAACTTTGCCTTGCAGGCCATGTGTATTGACATGTGAAAGCAAGCCAACAAAAATACTAAAAAAAAACAAAAAATGATTTCCATGACCAGTCACAACTAGTGTAGGTTCAGAGGTTTAGTTTAATTTTCTGGGTGTTAAGAATTAACACTTTCCGTTCCCAAATTACAGTAGAATTAAGTGTTGTCCTCAAAGTCTGAGCATCTAATGCATCTGTTTATGTTTTGATATTTGTATAACACTAATGAATAAAGATTCAAGTACTTGAAGAGGCATGCAGTGTGTTGTCTGTGCAGAAAAATGTCGTCATGATCACTTTTTAAAAAAATTTTTTTTTTTAAAGGAAACTTTATTTTATTCTGGGTTGAACAGCCAAAACATCTGTTCCAGAACAATAACACTTGAAAAAACAACAAAAACTGTAGAAGTACACAAGCCCAGTAGTTACCGCAGGAAGTGCTGTTGGGATCCATTCAAAATCATTTTCCCTACAATTTTTTCCATTATTCTGTATATCCTGTTTTCCGTCATTCATCTGTGTGTTGTTTAACTGGTCATCATCCGTGGGGCAATGCTCATAGACATCAGCTCCTGGAATAAGAGCTTACAGGCATACGGCATCCTCACCAAAGAGATCTGAAAAAGCAGAGCAGAGGATGGAAAGAGTCACGAAAGAGCCCATTTTATCATCTTAAATTATCCAAAACAAGTTCTATAATATGCTCACTAGACCCTTTAAGGTAATAGGTCATTGCTTGCTCCTTGTGGGAACTGAACCAACAACCATCCCTTATTGGATCCATGCACTGGATGAATCGATCATAATAAGATCAATAACATGCATTTAGAAAACTGATAGTGTGAAATTTCCTTTAATGACCACCTGATCCAGTCAGGATATTAGTGCTTGCTCACCTGTGTCTTGTTGCGGCAGCCCCTGCACTCATAGGTGTGTGTGCGCGTGTTTGCGATGGCCATGAGGCCACATAGATTGCAGACGTGGACCTGGTACGGGTCAGAGGCCTCAAAAAGCCTCTCTTTTAGGAACTGAGCAGCACCGTGAGCGATTTGACAGTCACGTTCCATCTCTCCAAAACGCAGCCCACCATCACTGAAGGGAGGAGAAGAAAAAAAAAAAAAACTGTATTAAGATCTGATAGGTGATTTTATATATTATGCATGAAAAAAATCTCCCAAGTATTATAGTGCTGTCTCACCGTGATCTACCCTCCATGGGCTGTCTGTTGAGGATCTGGACCGGACCACGGGCTCTGGAGTGGATCTTATCATCCACCATGTGCTTCAGACGCTGGTAGTATGTGGGTCCGATGAAGATTTGAGAGGTGAGCTTACGGCCGGTGAAGCCATTATACAGAACCTGCAAAAAAAAAAACACTATCATTAGAAACATGTTTCAACATTCTTCAATGCATTCTTAAAGGGACAGTCCACTCAAAAATGAAAACTGTTATTTATTAGGGCTGGTAAGCGATTAAAATTTCATGTGGTGATTAATTCATCTAATTAATCACAAATTAAGTGATCACTCCCAAAAGATAATTAAAATCACTGTTGTGTAAAGCATCAAACAGACATAAAAAGTAGCTTCAGCAAGAAATATTTTGTTTGATAAAATTTATTACATATACTCTTTTGGACCATGAGTGTGAGTAAATGATGACACAATTGTCATTTTAGGGTGGGTGAACTATACCTTTAATAATTTATTTTATAAATTTTATTATTATTACTATGGAAATATGAAATTATTTCTTTGAAGGGGTCATATTGCTAAAAAGAACATTATTTTGTGTATTTGGTGTAATGAAATGTGTTTATGCGGTTTAAGGTTAAAAAAAAACTTTTTCCACATACTGTACATTATTGTTTCTCCTCTATGCCCAGCCTTTCTGAAACGCGTTGATTTTTACAAAGCTCATCGTTCTGAAAAGCGAGGTGTGCTCTGATTGGCCAGCTATCCAGTGCGTTGTGATTGGCTGAATACCTCAAGCGTGTGACGGAAATGTTACGCCCCTTACCATACTGTGATGCCGTGTCCCGGCGCGACGAGACAACACCAATAAAACCCATTATAAACAAGGCATTTGTTGCATCCAGTGGGGACATAATTACTGATTATAATGACTTATACTGTCTTTTTACGTGTTGCATTGCATCACGCCACATAAACATAAAACCATGTCTGCATTTGTGATCGGAGAAACGACAAACAATAAACGTTTGCTCAGTGCTCAAAACTCATGTTTGAATCGTCAGTGGAAATTTTTTTATATATAAAAAAACGTACTTACAGGCTGTGAGTCAGAAGCGCCAGACTGTCCTTGCAAAGTTGGAACTGCCCCACTTTATAGAAACAGACACCGACATTGTAGGCTACTCTCTCAGAAAAAACTCCTCGTCCTCCATAAAATGCCCTGCACATATCTGACTATTTGGGTTGAACTGTTCTGGAACAGTGTTGTAAATACAACTTAACCACTGATTTCTAGTTGTTTCCTCTTTTGGAAGGCCAAACAAAGTAGTTTCGCTTTCACAACGAAACACACAGCATCTCCACAATATGGCGGCGGTAGCAACAACAATACTACAGCGAGAATCAAAGTTATGTCTTCTTTCTTTGCATGAACATTTGGGCGGCGTTATGCAAATCTTCCCACATCGTGACGTAGATATGTGGGGGCGTGTTAGAACGAGCCGTTTTAGGTAGGCGTGGTTGACTCTTAACTTTTATAAAGAATATCTCTTTGGATTTGAGACTTTAGTCTTTGCAACTTTACAGATCTTCTTTATGCACCAAGAGCTTGTAACACTCCAAAGAGAAAGGAAAAATTGAAATCTCATCATATGACCCCTTTAATGAAATGATACTCTAACTAATAAACTAAAACTGCCAGTAGGTGGTGGTAAATGTCTTAATGATTAAGTCAGAATCATTTATTAATTCATTTGATTCGTTCAAATGGCTGATTCTTTCAGGAGTGTATTAAATGGTTCTTTATGAATGGTCCATTGAATCATTAGGCTTGTTCGACTTGAAGCGGATCATCACCATCAGATCGATTGATGTGGACATCAAAGTACCACAAGAGCTATAGAGGGCAGACGGCTCCTTATGCGTTTGAATCACTCTTGCGGTACTTTGATGTCATTCAAGGTGGGTCTGTAGTCTGTGCAGCGCTGCTTCAAATCCAACACGCCTACAGCCAATGGTTCAACACGCCTATAATTCACCCAATTCGTTCAAAACGTCCATTAAGAAATGAAATGCCGCTGTGTGTTGCTCGGAGACGAACAGTTCTGCTTTGTATTTATATTTTCGTTGACAATATTAACTTCTAACTGTTGTATAAGATCAGCATCACATTTGCACTCCTGTGATATTGCACTTATCCTATTGCTCGTGTGATATTGCTTAAATATATGACGTAAATATGAGACAAAAACTCAAACGGGCATTTTTGCCCCTTTTCTTAAATTTTAGGAACATTCTAACTACGTTCTGTAGGCTCCATCAAGCAGTGAGTTGTTGCCCTGCCTCATATTTGTCATCAATCAGCTTGAAACCGCGAACTGAAAATTCAGCCAATGGTAACATGTAAATTTAGCAAAAACTCCCATATATTGCAAAAACTCTCTTACGCTTGCATTAGGTGGTTTTTCAGGCAATTTGAAAAAGGAATATTTCGCAAAAGTTTTAGTTTTCTAGTGGGAACCAATGCTGTTTGGTTAACAACATTCTTCAAAATATCTTCTTTTATGTTCCACAGAAGATAGAAACGAATACAGATTCGGAACAAGTTCAGGACGCAACAATTTTTATAATTTTCATTTTAGGTGGACTATCCCTTTAATAATGCTGCCACATTGGCAGGTAGAAGCTCTTCACCTCATTGCCTCTCAGATGGTAACCATATTCTGACAGCAGGTTGGAGACTTTTTGTACGTTCACGGCATCATTGAACGGCGTGGCATCACCAATCTCCCCTTTGTTAGCGGACACCTGAACGGAAGAGGAAATAAAAAGAAGAATTCAGAACTGCTGTATATTTAATACACTGGCTGCTCATATTACAATGTGTAATTAAACATTAACTACATATTTATAAAGTTTTTTTTACAGTGCATAAATGTGCACAAATCATTACAAAAGAGAAATTCTGTAAAATATCCTTCCTTGCAAAGTACTAAACATGTCAACATGACTTTGCTGGAGAATCTTTGTGGTGCACGTGTGCAAACACATGTGCCCAGAATAAACATCTTTCGCTAATGTAGACAAGCATGATATGTAGGATTAGGAGCAGAGAACCCAAGTACCTTCCCCTGCAGGCACTCGATCAAATGGCCGACTGTCATTCTGGAGGGGATGGCATGAGGGTTGATGATGATATCTGGAGTGATTCCTTCACATGTGAACGGCATGTCCTAATGAGAGAAATTCACAGCTCAGGTCAGACACGCACTTTATCTGCATTTGAGTTTTTGGGTGACTGTTTACAAGGCCTTCAGCTGTGAGTCAATCTGCTATCAGGAACTGCTTAAGAGCTACATCCTGTATACAGACCTTCAACTACAGGCTAGTCTAAACAAAGCTGACATACACATTTAGTCACACTAACATTAAAAATGAGCACTACAAC